ATGCCTGACCCCCCAGTCCTGGTAGCTTTGGGAATGAGAAGTCTAATTGGAAATTGCCGTTAGTTCAGAGACTACAGTATCTCTTAAAACTATAGTTTGACCTTTCAACCGTCTCCTCAGTTCCAAACCTGGTATAGTTCCTTTAAATCTGCAGTGTAAACAGCGAAACTGACTGCTGCCAATCTGAAAAAGTTTCTTAGTTCCTTGTTGAGATAAAATACGAAAAGAGAAACAAGCAAACAAACCAGGAGCCCAGGAAAACATGAGGATCAAACTAAATATCCTAATTGAGCCAACACGTGGGTCTCCAAAAGGTTCCCTCTCCTCTCCAGCTTCTCGAGGTTCGCTGAAGGAGCCCCCCTCCAACTTTTCACGGGCTCTTAACGTGCAGGTCAGGAATCCCCCACTCCCAAGCCATCGAACTGGAGCGAGCGATTCGCAAGCAGAGTGACCAGAGGTCGGGCGGCTCGGGTCCGTCCCCTCGGAGGTGTGTCATTTCGCAGTCCCGCTCTGCAGGGACCCCCGAGCAGCGCGGGTCGCCTCTGCTCCGCGTGGCCCGCTGTCCCCACTCGCCGGCCATGGCTGTCTCTCCGGGGTCCGCACCCTCAGGCCCGCGACGCCCTCGTCCCTCTCCCGCGCTCGGGTCCCCCACTCTGCCCTGGTGTCCAAGACCCTCTTAGGGACCCTCGCTTCTCCATCCTAGCCCCTTCCCAGGGACCTCTCCTCCACACCCGCGGCCCCGGTTCCTCTCGTGTCCCCTTCCCTCTGGCTCTCTGCGCCCTTCCCGGGTCCCCTCTCCTCGTCCCGGTCCCTGTCGGGGTCCCCTCCGCTCGTCCTTCCTTCCCGTCCCTAACGGGGTCTTCTCTCCGCACTACCCCACCCGTCCCGGAATTCCCTTCACCCCGGTCCCCTCGCCCGGGCTCATGCTGTCACCACCCCACGCCCGGGCGCCCTCACCTCAGACCTGCTGTCACCACTCCGGGGCCCGGCGTCGCCGCCGTCGCCGCTTCCTCTCTCGCACTTGTCCCCGAGTCGCTCTCCAGCGGCTTGTCCCTTGGCGGACCCCCGGGTCGAGTCCCTCCGGGTGCCGAACCCGGCTGCGCGCAGCCTCCGCCCCAGGTCCCCGCTTTGCGCCCCACTCTCCAGTCAGGACCCCGCCGCCCCGTGCCACACCGACCCTCCCGCGGCCGCCGCCGCCGCCGCCGCCGCTGCTGCTGTCCGAGGTGCGGCTCCTGCCAGGGGTGGCCAATCGCACCCGACTGCGCCGAGCGCGCTCCGCCCCCTCTGCTCAGTCCGCCCGCCCCCTGCCCCCGGCCACGCCCCCAGCTCGGCGCCAATAGGCTCTCTACTGACCTTCCCTGATCGCGGGGCACGGGGACCAGGCCGGATATAGGTATTTGACTGGACGCGCCTGGGAAGCCGAGCGGTCGATGGAGCCCCAGGATTGGTGAGGCTGGCGGTGGGCGGGAGCGGGCGGGGCGAGCCGTCCTGGGACGCGGAAGACCGCGCAACTTTAGTGACCCACCGCCCGCCTGGGGTGCGGTCAGTCTGGTTTGTACGGCTGTGGGGTCAAAGTTCGTGGCATTCCTCCCCACGCCTTTACTTTTCTTGGGAGACTCCCAGAGACCACCATGAGAGAGCCTGGGGGACCAGCCCACTTCTTCCCTCGACCGTGCACGGCTTTCTTAGTAATTCCATTTATTCACCTAGGACCTGTAAATATTTTCTGGAGCACTGGCAGGGAAGTTCGTTCCCTGCATTGCGTTTAGCAGACGTCAGTTTACTGCAGTTGAAGGGAAAAAAAAGAAACCCTATGTATGTAATAGTGGCGTTCTTTGCAGAAAGGGTTCCACACTGGTGGGGTACATTCTGGGCTACAAGAAGGAAGCTGCAGAAATATTCGGCGGGCTTTGGTGAACCGGTGTGAGCTTTGGCAAGGTTTCAGCAAGCGTGCGGTGCAAGATAACCTTTTCCAGGGCCGCAGGTTTCCATGTTGTGCGAACTCAAGGCCAAGGGATGATGAGCTTTGGCCAAGGGCGACCTCTGGGAAGCTGAGCCCCATCTTGCCTCAGGCTGAAAGTGTCTGACACGGGTGAAAGTGCGTAACGTCACTCAACTGGACAACCTGTCCACCTGCGTGTGTTGATTAAGTCAACACCACAAACTGAAAACGGCTGTCTTCACTCCTAAACCCCAAAGTCCACTCATGCACCCTGACGATTTAATGTTATATTAAACTGTTTATTGCAGGAGCGCACTTTGATCCAAAGCTTCTTCAGAGGTAGGTGGCCCTTAGCTCCCAAAAAACCCTCCCTCATTTTCTTTTAGACTGCTGACAAAATTTGCGTTCTCAACAGTATGTATGTTTCTCCTGCTGTTTGAAAAAAAAACAAAAACAAAAACAAAAAATATATCCTCCTAGCTACTCAGGAGGCAGAGATCAGGAAGATTGTGGTTGGAAGCCAACCCAGCCAGCAAATAGTTTGTGAGACCTTCTCTTGAAACAAAAATCCATTACAAAAAAAGAGCTGGCAGAGTGGCTCGAGGTGTAAGATTTCAACCTGAGTTCAAATCCCAGTACCACCAAAAAAAAAACCAAAAAGCAAACACACAAAAATACCCGTTTCATTTATGATGCTCCCCCTAAAATTTAAGTTTGGATGTTAGGAAAAGCAAAGAGTGCTTGTAGGGACAAGAAACCAGAGCTGGCAGGGCTTGGGGTTTAAGTCCAGGTCTGCAATAAATGTCTACTGAGCAGTGTGGCTGAGAACCATTTTTGGGAGGGATGCAGAGCAAGATTTCAAGATGGTAAAACTTGGTTTTGAGAGACTTGTTTATTACTGGCCTAATAGATTATAAAACCACATTAAAGCCAGGTGCTGGGGGCTCACATCTGTAATCCTAGCTACTGAGGAGGCAGAGATCAGGAGGCTCGAGGATGGAGGTTCGAGGCCAGCCAAGGCAAATGCTTCAAGAGACCCTATCTTGAAAAATTTGTCATAAAAAAGGGCTGGGGGTGTGGCTCAAGGTGTAGACCCTGAGTTCAAACCCCACTCTGCAAAAAAAGAAAAAATCATACTAAATAACTATAATAGTTGAGTTAGACTAAAGTCTTGAGAGTTTTTTCCCCACTAAAGAGCATTATTAGTTAACAGCTCATCCTACCAGTTACACAATCTGGATAGGAAAAATGCAGTAAATTGTCACCATGCAAGTGTTTAATTCTATCTCCGCATTACATAGAAATAAGAAATGCATGACCATTAACAGATGCTGTTTGCAATCAAGAAGCTACAGCTAGACATAAAACATAAGCAAGATATAAAAAAGAAACCCAAATTCTTGAAACTATTTAGAAATGAAATCAACTCTGTAAAAAACCTCATTATGTCAATGAACTCTGATTTGGAAAATGTTGCTTATGTTTTCTGCTTTACGAATATTGCCACTGATAGGAACAAGTTGCTCAAAGTAGCTGATTACAAATAATTTAGATGTGATCCAATACCACAGAAAAAGAAAGTGACTTCATCCCTTGGACAAGAGACAGTTCTGAAATCCTGCTTTAAATATACCCAGCGGACCTGCAGTGAGCGCTGAGGACCCCTCAGATGGCTCAAGTCCTGGAAAGCCATCCCAATGTACCATTCTGGAAATTCTCACGTTTTGTTGGGAAGAAATATCCCTGACAAAGAGAGCCAAAAATTTAATTAAAACAAGGTAGTAAATACAACATGTCTTAAAAATAAAGGCTCTGTGGAGGCCAACTCAGAGATAAATTTGATCACTAAAAGTCTGAGTCACAATACTGTGTTAAGTTCCACCCTGGCTTTCAACATCTGTGTTCGGTTTTATAACTTGTTATTCATTTATTGAAGACTCGGGTGCATCATAGAGTGTTGTTACTTTGAACAAATCATTATGCACCGCTAGGTCCTCTCCCTTAATTCCTTTTTCTTTTTTTTGGTGTGGCTGGGGTTTGAACTCAGGGCTTCGCCCTTGCAAAAGCAGGTGCTCTTCCACTTGAGCCACACTTCCAATCCATTTTACTCTGGTTATTTCGGAGTTAAGGTCCCATGAACTAATTCCGCAGGGCTGGCCTCGAACTGTGCTCCTGATCCGATCTCAGCCGCTCAAGTAGCTAGGATTACAGGCGTGCAGGTGCCTGGTTCAGCGCTGTTGTTTTTTGAATTTTAGAATTACCTCCTGTTAGGCAAAGGCCCCTTTTGCTCAGCTGAGAGTCGTTTAGGAAGCTACTGAATTAGGCAAAAGCACTTTTTAAAAAAATAAGTATTTGAGGACGTCTATGAGACATCCGTGGAAAGCTTGGGTCTGGGAACCTAACGCAAGCCGACTGGATGCTACCATTTTTCTTTCTTCCTTTCTTTCTTTTGAGGCAAAGGACAGCCTTGTAAATCGAGAGACCGCTGATCCGGTAAGCCTCCCCGACACGAGGCATTCCAGAGCTGGGAAATAACGTTCTGCGGTCCCAAGGATGGAACAGCAGCACCTTCTCTTTATTCAAGTGGTCAGGGGAGGAGCCAGGCTCCGTTTTTCCTGGGTGATCAAGCACGCTCCAGCTGTGGTTTCCTGACCCACTAAAGGCCGGTTCATGGCGTTCACCTGTTTAAATGACAGAGCGCCTCCACCTGCCAAGGGCGTTGCAGACCCTCTGCCCCTCAGGTCGCTTAGGATCCCCGCTTTAGTTCTGGTTCCGGGCGCCGCCTGGCGGCTGATTCCGGAAGTCTCCGTAGAGCTTCAGGGTCCTGGCGGTGGCTAGGGCTGCCCGTGGATTTGCCTAACTCCAGAGACCCCTGCCTCCGCCCCTCCCCCAGAACCCGTTGAGGATTTTAAGATGGCGATGAAGGGACTGTGGTTCCGGAGAAAGGGGCACCCGGGTCTTATCCAGCTCCTCAAGGATGGCGGGGTCAGGCCGTCGTCGGGCAGCTCGCGACCCGGAAGTCGCCGGCAGCGCGAGGCCCCCGTTGCCGAGCGCGGGCGCGGGGGGCGGAGCTCGGCGCCGAAGAGGAAGGGGTCGCCCCGGCTCCCGCACCTCCAGTTGGGGGCTGCCGCAGGCGCTGCGAGGCCGACGTCCAGGCCCCAGCGTAAGTGGACGTGGTCTCCGGGAAGCAAGTCCAGCTGTGGTGGGAGGCGACATGAGTGCCGCGGGGCTGCTGGCTCCGGCGCCAGCCCCAGCTGGAGCGCCGCCGGCTCCGGAGTACTACCCGGAGGAGGACGAGGAGCTGGAAAGCGCCGAGGACGACGAGCGCAGCTGTCGGGGCCGCGAGTCGGACGAAGGTGCGTCTGCTCCGGCCCGTCGGACGGCCGGGGGCGGGGTGGGACCGCCGAGGGACGGGAGAGGGGCGGGGCCTCTTCGGGGATGGGGTGGGGATGGGGGCAACGGAGAGGAGGCGGGCTTACGGTCGTCACCCCAATTCCAGCTGGGGAAGTGGGGGAAATCCCAAGCTCCGCCGTGCCCTGCACTTATTGGGCAGAAGGGGTTAGAGGTGGTCAGAGCTGTAGGTCTCTTTAAGACCGCACCCCCCCACACCCGCCCCCCTCCCGCAACCGCCTAAGGTTGAACCTCGAGTCTTCGCTGGTTGCATTGGGAAAGTCACGCACTGAGTGCACTGAGTGGCATTGTTTTAAAAAGCCCGCCTTAATTTGCTAGTTCCCAAGTTGCCCTTCTCCCGAAATACTTAAGTCTACGCTACGGGGCGGGGAGTGGGTTGTTGTTCAAAGAACAGGACCTAGAATCAGCCAGGTCTACGAATAAATTTGACTCTTGTCACTTGAACCCAGCCTTATAACTTTAGACATAGTAGCTTCTCAGCCTCACTTTACCTAGCCGCAGTGGAGCCGTTTGTAAGTGTTACTTCCTGGAAAGGCGTGAGAATTAAATGAGATACCTGGGTCAAGTACTCAGTAAATGTTTTCACCACAGGGGAAAGAGGCCAGGGGGAGGGAGGGACCTGTTCAATGGTGCCTAGATGTGGTGTTTCTGTCTCTTGCTCCTGTCCTTATCTTTGGTTTTCAAAATGGGCTTTATTTACCCTTTGGCAAGGGCGAGTAACACAGTTTTGAAGGGATTGAGGAAGGAGCTAGATGGAGGTAAAGAAAGGTGAAAAAGTGTGAAAGAGCCAGGGAGAAGAAAGAGGAAATACCAATATCTGGGTGGAATATCCCAGCACAAAGCAAAAGCTAGGCCAGCTGTCTGCAAGGAGGAATGATTGTTACTTGTCTTCCAAGTGTCAAGAAAGGACCTCAGTGACAGGCCCTTCCACTGAAGGAGGGGAGAAGAGTTTGTAGAGAATTTGATCTGCAACAGCCTTTCAAAAGGATGTGTGTGCAGGATGCAAAGTGGAAGGAACATTTAAGTACCTTTGAAAACACCCAAGAGGTTTTGAATGTGAAACACTTGCATTGCTTTCAGTGCCCACGAGGGGGAGTGGTGAATCCAAAATTTTTTTCTTCAAGTACAGGCGATGTTGAAATTAGTACACTTCAGTGATCTGCTTAAGGACAGTGTTTAAAATGTTTTGAAACAGTTTTTTTTTTAATCATCTTGCCTCTTCTTTTACTTGTAACTTTGAAAATATTTCAGTTATTAGGATTCACTTTGTTTTAAGCGATTTTCCTTTTTTATTGTATGTATTTCATGTAAGATGTGTGAAGGGTTCTAACCAAGCATCCATCAGGAGGAATACGCACCCTAGGTTTTTTTGAGCAGTGAGATGGGCTTGACTGCCTGCAGCATCCAGTCTTAAGGCCCACATCTCTCTCGGACTGCCCGTGTTGTTGTTCCTGCAGAGTGGTAGCCTTGACCGTGACTGCTTGTTCTCTGGCTGCACATCAGATACAGTCAAGCTCTTTGCATACATCTGGCTGTGTAAGTTGGAGATGACATTTTCTTTTCTGCATCAACTGTATTTTAATGTTTTTCACTGGTGTCTTCATGCAGGCCTTCGTTGAGTAGAAGGTCGTTTGATAGAAGTTTATTAAGTACTTAGACTGTGTCAGGTCATGTTAACTCTATGAATTATGATCTTAACCCTGCTTCCCTCATTTTACTTAGACACTGAGGATGCAAGTGAGACGGATCTGGCAAAGCACGATGAAGAAGATTATGTGGAAATGAAGGAACAGTGAGTGTGATTTTGTTTCTCTTTTCTGGAATGTAGAATTGATACAAAATCTTTTTAGTGACCTGTATGGCTTGACCTTGGTACTTGCAAAATCCTCATATATGTTTAATTTCTCTTCTTCAAATTAGTCATGTTTAATCAGGTTTCCTGTTAGAGGGTCCTTGAGGATAGGCAAAACAGAGTGTGTTTTTTTCCTTTTTTTTAAGAAAGAGTCTTAATGGAAGTGATCATAGAAAGTAAGGTCGTATACCAGAAGAGAGCCTTTACCACCTCCTCCTCAGTGGTACTGGGTTTTAAACTTGAGGCCTCACGCTTGCTAGGCAGGTGCTCTACCATTTGAGCCACTTTTCCAGCTCATTTTATTTTTTAAGTTGTGAAAACTGGTGCTTGGAGAGGGTAATGGTGTCTTCTGATCCACTTGAGTGCCAGCTCCATGCTAGCCAGTGCACTAGGTGCTTGGGAAGCTGGAATTGGAGCACAGGCTGCTGACTCCTGCCCACTGCTCTGTCCCAGTCCACACCCATGTCTTCACCCAAGCCTTCTCCTTGTCTTTAGACAGCCTCAGACATGTGCTCAGAGAGCAAACCCCACCCACTTTTTTTTTTTTTTAAATGGCAGAGTTTTACAGTGTTGCTCAGGCTGGTCTTGAACTCCTGGGTTCAAACAGTCCTCCTGCCATAGCCTCCCGTTAGCTGGAACCACAGGCATGTGCCCCCCCACCCCGCCTCCCATTATACACCCACAGCATAAGATACATTTATTGAAGATTTTGATTTTGACTTTTCTTTTAAACTAGATGATACCTGTCTAGGTCCTATTCGCAAATGTTTGTGGCCATCCTCTGGATTCTTTCATCCTTTCAAGCTTTGAAACCCAAAGGGGTAATTCAGCTAAGTCTGGCCAGTGAAAAATAAAGTGTTACATCAATAATTCATGCGACCCCTCTCAGTTTCATCCCTGAAACTCTGCTAGGTTTTTATTCTCTGCTAGTTTTTTACTAATTGACCTTGACCGGTCTGAGATATATTGTCACATATTTACTGTTTTCCCTGTATACGATCTCAGTGAATCTGATTGTTTTTTGTTTCCTTTTTCAATCTTCCAGTATTCCCTTTCAAAACCATACTCAGTCACAGGTGTTGGCTGCACTGTCGACATGGTGGAAAATGTAATGTCCTGGGTTCCAAGTACTGACTTCTCGTGCCGGGTGTAGGCATCGGCTCCCTCTCCTGTACTTGCTATATTTAAGCATCATTTTTAGGGACAATCTTTTGATTGAATGTGCCCCTTTAACATTTAAAGCGGAATGCCTTATATAACTCGAGGCATTTAGTTCAAGGCAAGAGGAGTCATCAGAATATGCCCTTCGAGGCAGCCGTCCTGTGGGATTCAGATTCTCTCTACCCATTCCTCCACCTCCAGAGAGCGGATTATATTTATAGGCTTCATTTGAGTAATTGAAAGGGTGCTTTGTCTGTTATATGTTGGACAGTGTTCTTTCAGGTTCCAAATCCTGTTATCATGGAGAAATTAGGGGTGTTTTTCAGGTAGAAGCAAAAATGTGATTTATGTTTGGAATCCACCATTCAAACAAACTTGCTGGAGTGTGTAATTATCTCTAATCCATTGGAGGGGGGAGGCAAAAAAATAACACACCATGTTCTTTTGCTTAGTGTATGCTGTGTGTTCTTACCCAGCTGGGGCTGCAAATAAATTCCTCCTTTTAAATTTTGTTCCTGAATTACCATTCTTTGTGTGTGTGTGTGTGTGTGTGTGTGTGTGTGACCAGAGCTTGAACTCAGGGCTTTGCACTTGCCAGAGCAGGTGCTCTACTGCTTGAGCCACGCCTCCAGTCCTGAATTACTATTATTTTTCTGATTCTGAAAGAGTAGTGGTTTTAAAAATGCCATGAAGATCTGTTGACTTAATGCTTACACAGCTGTGCTGTCTATATAGAAAACATGCTGAGGGCATAATGTCACTCCTTTAAATTTATGACACAATTGTAGAGGTGATAAGTTACATTTAATGCCATTTCTACATGATACTTACACTTCTAAGTCCAAAAGAAATAGCATCAGACTTTGTTTTTCTTTGTTCCTTTTTTCTTTTGGCCATACTGGAGTTTGAACCCAGGGCCTCATGCTTGCTAGGCAGGCGCTCTACCAACAGCCCTTTTTTGTGTTGGTATTTTCAAGATAGGGTCTTAAGAACTATTTGCCTGGGCGGGCTTTGAACCGTGGTCCTCCTGATCTCTGTCTACTGAGAAGCTAGGATTACAGGCGTGAGCCACCAGTACCCATATCTCTTTGTATGTTCTTGTTTAATTGCTTATCATTGATATTTCTTAAAATCTGCTGTCTTCATATTTATACATTTTAGACCGATTCATAGCTGAATCTTCAAAATTAGGATGTGATTCAAGAATTTGGGACCCTATCCCTTCTCATTCTTTAGCTGGAACCTTATAAACCAGACTTTCCTCTCTCCCTTGAAGAGCATTTTCATAACAACTTGGGTAATGCCTGTTTGTAGGGTACTTTGGAACTGAGGACTGATGCTTTGTCTTTTAGTGTGGTTTTTCTTTTTTATAGGATGTACCAGGACAAACTGGCTTCTCTCAAGAGGCAGCTACAACAACTGCAGGAAGGTTGGTATGCGATTCCTTCCTTTCTAAAAGTCTTTCCTGGGATAAACCTGTGACACCTGTGTGCTTTACTTAGCACTGTGGGAGTGATTGGAAATTGTTTTTGTGTTCAATATGTAGCATGTTATTCAAGTGACCTCTCATTTGAGGCCTGCTAGAAAGTATGCATTGAAAACCATTGTGCCTAAAACTAGTTAACTTTAGGAGGAACATTGTTGGCAAAGAATAGTGACTGTTTTCTCTGTACACCAAGTGTCCATGTGCTATGGAGTGTTCCCACTGTGCTTTCTCTGTTTGCTTGGTAAGTTACAAGTGATTGTGTCTTGCCAGGTGTTCTGGGCTGCTAAAGGCAGTGCAGCATGGGGATTAAAGGCCTGGGCTCCCAATTCTGTGATGGGTTTGCAGCCCCTTTCACTGCTTTCCAGTAATGTGACTTAGGGCATGTCAGCTTCTCTTGCCTAATCAACAAGATGGAGACGATAAGAAGGAGTGCATCCAGCACAGTGCTAGACCTGGTGTGAGAACCTGGGGGTGATCAGCTACTCCCATTAGTTCTTCAATTTCATGTTGTGGAGTCAAGTCCCTTGGCAGTGAAAGTGTCAGTGTCAGTACTGTTAGCTAGGGAGTGATCTGTGCCTTTCAACTAGCCTGGGGACAAACGCTGATCAGGGAATGCTTCCCCCACAAATTGGGCCCTCATAATTAGCTGCTTTAAGAAGAGCAGTGACTAGCCCAGGTACGGGGCAGTTGATTGTTGCTCTCCCAGCCTCTGCCGACTCATTGGTTTCTAAAAAAAAAAAAGAGCAATGAGCAGAGATTTCAGAATCTATATCCCAGCCATCTGGTATTGTCACTAGCCTCATACCTATTTATATTTAGTTAAATCAAATTAGTTATCTAGTTCTTCACATAGCCACATAGGTTTAATAGCTACCATATTGGACCATGCAAATGTAGAATATTTTACCTTTGCAGAAAGTTGTGCTGCACAGCCTTGACCTAGACCTTACTGAAGGAGAATGACCTTTCTCCAGGAACGCTGTAGCAGAAGTGGTCATGCATTTAGGGTGTCTATATACTTCCACTCACTCTCACTCAATAGTCTTGGTCCCCTGGGATGGGGTGCACTCCACCTAGACCCCAGGTGATGTCTGTTGTGTGCATTGGCCAAGAGCCAGAATTCAGTTAACTCTGCTCAGGTGTGGCTTTCCTAGGCTTTTATTTTACCGTGGTGTTACTATAATCGTCATTATTCATGCTAGAATGAAGTTTAGGAAACAAAATGTAGAGTAGATAAATCTTCAAAATAATTTCTCTTTTTTAAATGTCAGGTACATTACAGGAATATCAGAAGAGAATGAAAAAGTTGGATCAGCAATACAAAGAGAGGATCCGAAATGCAGGTAAGGCTCTTAAGTCACAGATGCACCACCTGCACGTTTGCCCCTTTCACTGATCATCCATGTACGTGACACTAAGAGCTGTTTCTGCAGTCATGTAAAATTGCGTCATTTTCTTTCCCTGGTAGTCAAGGGCATCAGTGGTGTCCTCTCTCAGTTGGGTTGTTCTCCTAGCGGCCCATGTACCTTCTCATGTCTCAATGGCTTATTGAACAGTTGGAGGTACTGACTCAGAGGAGGATTGTAGGTTGTTTTACACCTGTCTTAAGTTAGATTCTTCTGGAATTCTATGCTCTGAGAGGAGGGGTATTTTCTTGTTATTTCTCCAAGTTTTTTTTTTTTTTTTTCTTCTTTATTTTGGTGGCACTGGGGTTTAGACTCAAAGGCCTCATACTTGCTAGGCAGGTGCTCTACACTTGAGCCACTCTGCCACCCCTTTTTTGTGATGGGTTTTGTTGTACAAATTGAGGATTATACCACTAGGTCAACGAGCCTAGCACAGTGATGGGTTTTTATGAGACAGAGTCTTGCGAACTATTTGCCTGTAATGGCCTTGATCCGCAGTCATTCTCATCTCTGCCTAGGATTACAGAAGTGAACCACCAGTGCCCAGCTTCCCCAAGTATTGTATTACAAGTATGTAGAGAAAAGAAGCATATTTTTGGTCTTTTGCATGCAGTAAATGTATTCATTCTGCATATTTGGTAAGCATCTGCTACAAGTAAGCACCATGAGCAATGTGAAGTTAGAAACATATTGTTCTTGACTTTAGTAAACTCTCCACACGTGTCAAGTTAAAGAACATAATGAGCTAAATATAGAGTCAGGAAAATAAAACGTCACAACTCAGGAGTCTTTTGTAGGTGTTAAATTTTAAAGCTCATCAGGCAGCATTTTAAGTGCCAGCAGGGGGCTTGTTCCTGTCATGATGGAAGTAGTGTTGGATTTGAAAACAACATGTGGGTGCCGCTGCTCACGTTTTTCTGATCCAGGCCCTGCCCAGCTTTCTGTCAGTGGAAACCTGTCCTCTCCACCTAGGGACAAGCTGTCTAGTGGACACAAGTGAAAAGGACTGCAAGGTGTGAGGGCCTGGGAAAGCACATTAGTCCTTTGCTTATCCACATCCTGCCTGTCCACTGCTTCCCACTTTGCTCTGAGCTCCCAAGGCATCTTTTTGAGGCATCTTTAAAAATCTTAGTTCTCTTCTTGGTCTTCCTCTTTAGTGAGTCAGAGAGAGGACATAGTTGAAGGAGATGGTGCTAGGTTCATTTCCTGCCTCTACTGCTTTGGGGCTGTGCTTTTAAGTCTCAGAGCCTCAGTTTTCCCATCTGTAGAGGGGAATAGTGATTCCTCAGGAGTTGGGTTAAGATATAAATAAGGAAAGAAAATTGACATGAACCACTTGTCTTAAGCTTGAACAGCAGGGCAAGTACTGAGTTTTTCTTAATTCTTATTCTTGTGTCCACATATGTTGTATCATACACTTTAAGCACCCCCCCCATCCCGTGAAGATGCAGAAGCACTCCAAAATCAGTGAAGACTTACTTTAAAAAGCACATTCCAAACAGATAATCTACCCGCTTTCACTGTGGCTGGTGTCTGGTTGCTTTTACTGAGACAACAGCCACCTGTTCTAAGTGCTAGTTGTTATTTGACTGGTTGGTGCAGGTCTGATTTCTTGGGTATTGCAGGGTTTCAGGTGGCTGGCTGGTCATGGTTCTCATGGTCTGGAGCAGCCATAGGTGTCAGCATGTTGGGCTAGATGTACTTGGGTGCCTTTGCCCAGGTATTTCCAGGTCTTCTGGGGGTTGGAAAATAGGGAAGCTGGTTGCCAGTGGCTCATGCCTGTAACCCTAGTTACTTGGGGAGGTTGAGATTGGGAGGATTGCAGTTCAAGTTCAGCCTAGGCAAAAAGTTGAGAAGAAAAGTTAGGCTTGGTGATGTGTGTCTGCCATCCCAGCTGCAGTGGAAAGTGTAAAATAGGATTTGGGTCTAGGCCAGCCTGGGCAGAAAGCAAGACCCTATCTCCAAAATAACCTGCCATACATAAAAAAAGAAAATGGTGAGTGCTCGGCCCTGTCTTCAGTGTGTTCCGTCTAACAGCTTGTTGCCATCTGGTTGTTTTTTTTTTTCTTTTCTTTTTTTTTTTGTGGGGTTGGGTTTTGAACTCAGGGCTTTGCACTTGCAAAGCAGGTGCTCTACTGCTTGAGCTACACTTCGAGTCCATTTGTACTCTGGTTAATTTTGGAGATGGGGGGGTCTTCTGAACTATTTGTCCATGCTGGCCTTGAATCTTGATCCTCCTGGTCGCAGCCTCCCAAGTAACTGGAACTACAGATGTGAGCCACCACTGCCCAGCAACATCTGGGCTCTTAACTTGGGGGTTTCTGGAGTTGTGAAAGCTCTGTGGAGTGTATAGCTGCACTTTTGTTCTGGGGACTGGGTCTGTAGGACATAACAGGTTTGCAGAGGAGACCATGGTGAGCTGCAGGCAGCACCCTGGAGTCACTGGTCTATCAGCAGTCTTTGTGGACCACATGTGGCAGGCTCACTGTCACCCAGAAAGACCAGATCTACAGACCTATTGTGTTTCAAGTACTGGTTGTTTGGAGAGATTTGAAATCTTCCTGTGGGGGATTGCTCAGTACACAAAATTTTTTTTTGGAGGTACTGGGGTTGGTAAACAATTTGTAATTGTCCACGGTAGGTGCTAATGAAGCTGTTGAGCACTGCTGTATTGGTCCTTTTCATGGCTGAGAGAAACTTGGTGAGCGAGGGCTTGTAATGCAGGGCTGTAGTGGATCAGAGGCTTGAGGGTGTTGTTGGCAGAGGTTCCAGCTGAACAAAGCCTGGTGGCCTGAGAGCGAAGTCCCAGGAGGCCCAGGAGCTGTCTTCTGGTTTTTCTGGGAGCATCCTTCCTTGTCACACAGCTTTGGAAGCTCTGCAGGTAGAGTAGTTGCATTTTCTTCCTGGGCCATCTGTGGTCTTTGGGACTGTTGGTGTGGATTCCTCACCTTGGTTTTGCCCTCAGGCAAAATTGCCAGAGCTGATTGTGTTCAGGGCCAAATTTGAGCCCAACACAGATACTTCTTGCATCCTTCCACTGCATGTTCTCCAACACTTCACTGATGAAAACATTGGCTTTGTGTGATGTGTTTTCAGAAAGCAATTACACGTCTAAATAAGTCTTGATGTCCCTGTCTAGGAAGGTGACACACATGGAGAGTCTAACTGCACCTTTTTCTCTCTTTCAGAACTGTTCCTCCAGCTGGAAGTAAGTACCTGGGGTCTTCTGGGTTTGTAGGCTCATATGAGACAGGAATCTTGGTCTCTCCATCTGGTGGCCTTTCTTTCTGTTACCATGTTGATGGTCTGGAGACTTTATGACCGTTCTCTCTGATCAAGGGATGGTTGGTCTCAGTTCAGACATTCCATCTACATTTGTTGTTGGAAAGCCTCTGCTTATCACAGGGATTAGGGTTCCTCACCACCACTTTTTTGTCAGCTTTCATCTCACAGTAAAGCTGTTTGGAAGTCTCTCTGAATTATAGAAACCTAATCATTTGATATTGGTCCTCTAGGCAGCCTAGTCCCTGAATCGGCTCAGTAAATCCATTTTACAACTGAAATCCTAGGCCAGTAAGAAAGATGAGTTTCAGTGCTTCTTTTCATTCCACAGACAGCTCAGTGCTGCTTCTATGTCTGGCTCAGTGCTGTGGTATGAGATGAGGGCCTGAGTTTCTAGTGACAAGCTTCTCTCTAGGTGGCTGGTGGATGGGAGAGGTGCTTTATGAGAAGGTCATGGTTTATCAGAGTCATATTATTAGAAGCTATTTTAGAACTAGACTCAGTTCAGTGCACAGACTCACAGCCTAGAGGGTCACACGATCCCCACCACAAGCCCCTGCCCACGTTTATCATTTGGTACAGTGGGGAGATTTAAAAGTGCTTGCTTTTTTTTGGTGGTACTGGAGTTTGAACTCAGGGCCTTGTACTTGCTGAGCTGGTGCTCTGCCACTTGAGCCACACACTCTGCCCTTTTTGCTTTTGCTATTTTTCAGTTAGGGTCTCCCAATTTTTGCTTGGCTGCAGTCTTCCTACCTATGCATAGCTTGATTACAGGTACATACCACCACCCTGGTTTATTTGTTAGGACGGGTGTCTCACTAACTTTTTGCCTGGATTGGCTTAGAACTACAGTGTTCCTAATTTCCGCCTCCTAAGTAGCTGGGATTACAGATGAGAGCCACTGTGTCTGATTCAGTTCTTTATTTTAGTTTTGTACTTTATTTTATGTTTGAGCACTTCAGTTTCAGGCACATAGTGAATGATCTGTGGTTGCTTTTTGTCAACTACAGATAGTTTATTTTATCAAAAACAATAACTCACATTGCTTGGCCTCAGTATCCTGCAATTAATTTTGAATCCAGAAATTTCATCTGGAATGTGCTATTTTCCCTTGAAATCATGTCCTTCAGAGAGATTATTTATTTACATCTTTGAGAGACTTCTGTTCTCTTGTAACATTAAAGCCACAAGGTCTAAACTGAAGAGAAGAAATCTCTGAGTAGGAAGTGCAGTGCCCCAAGGTGAGCAGCAGTCCTGTGGCTGAATTTGGGGCCCTCATTGGGAAACCTGCTCCTAGGACCCTGCTGCCTCAAGTGTATGAGTGAAATTATGCCTTGTGTTTCCAGTAAAGGTATTTTCTTTGCTGTTGAGAACAGAGTTGGATTTTGACCTGGAGCCCTGGTTGCCTGGGCCATGTACTCCTAGCCTATGTTTCTCTTTTGCTCAGACTGAACAAGTGGAAAGAAATTACATTAAAGAGAAGAAGGCAGCAGTGAAAGAATTTGAAGACAAGAAGGTCGAGCTAAAAGAGAACCTGATTGCTGAGCTAGAAGAAAAGAAGAAAATGATTGAAAATGAAAAGCTAACAATGGAACTGACTGGAGGTATGAAGCCCCATGAGGCACGGCCCTGGTGGGCACCATCACTCCTGTCTCCTATTTCCAGAGTGGAGGGTAGTGATGGAGGGTGGGCTTTGATGTCTCATCAGCCTTTCAACTCCACTTAGCCTTGGCTATATGGCCTTGTTCAAGCTGCTTAACTTCCCTGTTTCCCCCACTATCAAGCTGGCTGGTCATACCCTGTGTCACAGGATTCTGGCTAGAAATATTGGATTAGGAGCTATATATAAAAGTCATTCTGGCTTGTGGTTTTTGATTCCTGGGTTTGCCGCTAGTTGTGTTTTGGTTGTATTCCTAAATCACTTATCCAAGTCCATCTGTGGTGATGGGAATCTTGCTCTGTTTTATCCAGCCTGCCTTAGTTACAGAAAAGGCACTATCTTCTGACCTTGATGAGAAAACAGTGGCTTTGGCTATATCTTCTGTGTTGTTAGATCTCTTTTTTCCAGGCTGCATGGTGAACATTTCAGAAAGTACTGATGCCATTCCAGTAAGGTAGCCCAACTTAACTGTTCTCCTGTAGAGGTAGTGAGGTTGCACAAGGCTCGGAGCCAATCCTTCCCTTGCCTTCCAGGTTTCCTTCTGTGACTTACACATGGGAGCTCAGCAGGTTGTAGGGACGTTTTGGGGAGAAGCAATGTGCGCTGTCTCTTCTGTTGCCATCTGCAGACTGATGAATCCTGGAAGGACACGGGATTGGCTGGAAGCAGCTATTTTGAAACTTGGCAAATAGTGCAAAGCAGGTCAGCAGTGAGTCTGTCCCTTGGATGTGTACATGGCATACCCTTTTGCACACCTAGAATTTAACTTTTACAATCTTATTCAGAAGGCCCTGGGGTGCTGGCATGTCTGATTTTAACAGGGAAATGCAGATTTTTTGTTTTTGTTTTTAATGGAAATCCTTGGAGCCTACTTTGAAACTAAAAGTAACCAGTCAAGATCTGTCTTCATGCCCCCCCACCCCACCACCTTGATACTGTGAACCAGTTTGGCCCTCCCCTTGACAGAGACTTTTGGTTTCAGTCCCAGTGATACCCTGATGAGAATGTGGTTATGTCTGATGGGGGGAGGGAGGGGGTTCTGACTCCTGAAAAATTGCTCATGGCTTCCTCACTGAAAGACTTGGCAAATGGAGTGAGTGCCTTGAAGGTCTCTAATGCAGCTCAGAAATGCTTTCTTGTTTTGGTGAGAACAGATGCTAAAATAGCATCTTCAGGCAGCACCATCTTGTTCTTGCGGAAGTGCTTTTTCACTGGACTGCTACTGCTGGCTGTGCTGCCTTGTGTGGTACAGCCTGCCTGCCTGCTTTCTGACCCACACACCATTTTCTCTGATGGTGGTGTGACTGGCATTGATTCCTCATCGCTGTCTGCTAGAGACACCAGATGTTCTGGAGCTTTCATTAGGCTAGTGGGAAATATTGTCCATTTATAGCTGCTCCCTTTCCATCTGTAGGGAAGGCTATCATCACCTTACCTGTGATTTGGCATCCTAATTATTGACAAGTCATAGATATTGTTTGGCCAGGCAGTTTTATAGCCAGACTCTTAACTGGGACAGGAGGCATCCTCGGTGACTTGAGCAGAGCCTGCCAGGGTGGAAAAGACAAATAAACGCAGTGAAATCATTTGTAACACAATAAAATAGATTACAGAAGTGTTTAAAGCTCGCCATGGGCATTAAAGGTACCGATGTCCTTCCTCAAGCCATTTGGTACCCTTGGTATGGAAAGCACTGCCAAGGTAATGATGGAGAGAGAGAAGAGGCACTGGGGCTGGAAGGATAATTAGCCTTTCCACAGATGGTGCTGCTATGGTGTTGCATTAAAGGCTTGATCTCCTTCCTGTAATTGAGTGACTTATTTCACCTTTGTGGATTGATGCCTGGTATCCGTGCCATCCAGCTCTGCCCATAGAAGGTGTTTCTTAAAATCTCCTTTTTGGTTTCAACATGAAGATCTCAATAAACAAAGTAGGATGAGAGGCTGATGAAAAGCTTCGTCCCTAGGACCCACTGGAAACAGATGTGTCTGGTGAACTGCTCTTTCTGAACGTGATGCAAAGCACTTGCAGACCTCTGGGGATGAACAGGACAGACTCTTCAGACCCACACCTCTGTGGAGGACTTGAAAGCTTGATTATACAGGCAGCAGGGTGTGTGGTAGAGGAGAAGCTAGGATGAGCTGTAGGGCTACTTCTTTGGCTTTCAGGTATACATGGTCACCTGGCAGTCTGGGGTCTGGAGTAGCTTTCTGACTACTTCCTACCAGTGCTGCTGGTCAGACCACATTCTGAGTCCTGAGGTTGTAGATAGAATGAGCAGTGTTTTCTTTATGTTGAGGCCAAGATTATAAGTAACCCAAATAATCAAGGAGAACTTGAAAATGTGAAGAGCTTTATTAATTTTCTTCTAGTCCTTCGAGCAGTCTTTTTTCCTTTCTTCCAACAGTTTGCTAATTGTCACTTCATTTTCTTTTGTAAATTTTTGCTCACTAGGGCATCTTGTAGCCTTCAGGTCCCTGTGGAAGCTCGCAGTGACCACAGTAAAGCATGTTTACACACAATGATTTCGGTATCCATAGCTGGCAGTACAGGTTGTGTAGTGCCAAAGTAGAAGTCAGTTTCCTGAGCACGTACATTGAGCTGGGGACTATATAAGAATTACAGTGTCACCTCTGCAGGCCGAAGGGCCGTGGGAGAATCCTGTTCTGACGTGGGGTTTCCTCATTTTGCAAGGGGTGAAAGAGTGTCCTGTGCAGGACCAGTGGAAGATGAGAGGGGATGATGCCTGTGCTGTGCTTTAGAAAGTGGCTTGCTCAGGGCAGACTCTCGGGACTTGGGAAGTGTAACCTCATTTAGTTCCTGCAGCTTCCCTTGATTTGGGTATCATTATCCTGCATTTACAGATGGCACAGCAGACTTAGAGAAGTAGAGCCATTTGCTCAAAAGTCCCCAAGTGAGCTAGACGGATGGTTAAGCCAGAACTTGTCTGACTCCAAGTATTTCTCTTAACTATCCCGTGGATTTTCTGTGCTATGTGCATGTAGCACTGATTCACAGCATTAGGCTGGTGGGTAAGGTCTGTCACCTCAAGTTGTTTATTTTCTGATAGTCACCAACTGACACAACATCCCACTTCCAATGTGAGGTGGTGTTGAGATAGAGGTCCCCAGTGGAGGGTGAAGATTTAACAGACTAGTTTTAGTGACTAAAAACTTACAGTATGTGAGGTTGTGCAGTACAGAAAGTCTCAAGCAGTTTGTAATAGATGCCAGTGTGAAGGAGCAGAGGTCCCAAATAATGTCTTGGGAGGAAGAACAGAAGAGGTGACCTGGATTTAGGGTAGGTGGGCTTGTTCTCCAGATGTTCCTCTCTCATGCTGACCGTGGAATATAGGCCTCCTCATTCGTTGTGGTTGAGGGGTGATCTTGGGCTCCATTAGTTCAATCTTTAGATGTCATCCCTTCATTATGGGTATCTTGGGCCTAATAGAGATTGTCTCTTTATCCCTACTGTGTACTGTGAGTTGGCCTTGTAATACCTGACCTTGACACTTACTCTATTTTCCCATTCCCCCGCTTGTAGTTGCCATGGCAGCACTGCTTTGTAACAATGGGGAGCTTTCTAGAGAGGGGTATGGAGTATGCTGGGTCTGCTCTGGGCCTCTTGTTGAGCCCTTGTTGCACTGCCCTGGTTTGGAGGTGGCTGCCCGCCTGCTGCAGGACTTATTCTCAGTGGTCTTTGCTTCTGCCATCCTGTCCTGTTTCTTAGGTGTGCTGTTTGAATAGCTGTACCTACATTTTTCTGTAACTAAACAGATGTTTGAAAAAGCTTTGTCCAAAACTGGGGGTGGAACTTAGGGCCTCACACATGCTAGACAAGTGCTGTATCACCAGCCTGCATTCCAGCTCTTAAGTTTTGTTTTGGTTTTAGTTTTTTATTTTTTAGTGGGACTGGGGTTTGAGCTCAGGGCTTTGTGCTTGCAAAGGAGGTGCTCTTCTGCTGGAGCCACACCTCCAGTCCATTTTGCTCTGGTTATTTTGGAGATGGTGTCTTGGGAATTTTTTTTTTTAACCTGGGCTGGCCTTGAACCGTGATCCTCCCAATCTCAGCCTCCCAAGTAGCTAGGATTACAGTGATGAGCTTCTGGTCCCCAGCTATTAAGTTTTGTTTTTAATTAAGGCATATCGTACATGTTTATGAGGTGCAGGGATGTTTTGGTTCTTGGATACATTTTGTAATAAATTAGAATGTTAGTGTATCTGTTACCTCCTATTTATCCTTTCTTTGTAGTAAAAACTTTTAAAATCTATTATCTTGTAACTGTTTTGCCATATTTGATAAAATATTGTTAACCATAGTGAACTTACTGTGCAGTAAACCCCAGAATTTCTTCCCTGGAACTTTGTAAGGGCCTGTTTCTTACCCTACCCTCCCCAGCCTTTGATATCTATTCTTCTACCCTCTCCTTTTTTGAAGTTAGTGTCTCTTTCTCTCTCTTTTATTTTTGTTTTTTGTTTTTTGGTGTAACTGGTGTTTGAACTCAGAACTTCGCACTTGCAAAGCAGGTGCTCTATCGCTTGAGCCATGTCTCTAGTCCATTTTGCTATGGTTATTTTGGAGATGGAATCTTGGGAACATTTTGTCTGGGCTAACCTCGAACCTCAATTCTCCTAATCTCAACCTCCCAAGTAGCTAGGATTACAGTCTCATGTGAGCCACCGGCACTGGTGAGGTTAGCATCTTCAGATTCCACTTAGGAGTGACATCCTTCATGAGCTTGTTTTAATGGTTAATTTATGTTAAAGTTCCGGAAGCTTGAACCGCAGCTAAGGATGTAGAGAGGTGAGCTGTTAAGAGTGGGTGGATGGGAAAATGCAGAACAAAAGTCCGTCCTGTAGGCTGGTAAATGCATGTTAATTGCAGGTAGTATCAGTACTATCTCTCCATAGGGACTGTCTGTAATGGTGCCTCCTAGCTATGGTTCCATCTGTGCTCCCATTTCTTAGCTGTTTCTGTTTCTTAAGAGGGCAGATCCAGCTCTGCTTCGGGGTGCCAGGTTTATTGGTGAGTAGAGCAAAAGGATTTGCACTCTCAAAGGTCATTTATGAAATGGTTTGGAGAGTTGTCTACCTCATCTTGTGGCTTGTTCAGTGTATCTCAGATACACTCTCTCAAGTCTGGGTTAGTTGTATGATATTCTGTGGGGTTCTACAAATAGTATCTCCACTGAAGCAAGTCTTGGAAGAGGGCCCTGGATCACAGAGTCTTTCTTTTTTTTAAATTTTTTTTCTTTTATTTATATGTGCATACAATGTTTGGGTCATTTCTCCCCCCTACCCCCTCCCTAGCCTCCCCCCACCTCCTCGATACCAGGCAGAATCTATTTTGCCCTTATCTCTAATTTTGTTGAAGAGAGAGTATAAGTAATAATAGGAAGGACCAAGGGTTTTTGCTAGTTGAGATAACGGTAGCTATACAGGGAGTTGACTTGCATTGCTTTCCTGTGCATGTGTGTTACCTTCTAAATTAATTCTTCTCGAACTAACCTTTTCTCTAGTTCCTGGTTCCCTTCTCCTATTGGCCTCTGTCGCTTTAAAGTATCTGCATTAGTTTCTCTGCATTGAGGGCAACAAATGCTATCTAGTTTTTTAGGTGTCTTACCTATCCTCATACCTCCCAAGTGTGCTCTTGCTTTATCATGTGATCGAAGTCTAGTCCCCTTGTTGTGTTTGCCCTTGATTTAATGTCCACATATGAGGGAGAACATACGATTTTTGGTCTTTTGGGGCAGGCTAACCTCACTCAGAATGATGTTCTCCAGTTCCATCCATTTACTTGTGAATGATAACATTTCATTCTTCTTTATGGCTGCATAAAATTCCATTGTGTATAAATACCACATTTTCTTAATCCATTCATCAGTAGTGGGGCATCTTGGCTGTTTCCCCGCATCCTCGCCAACACCTGTTGTTGGTGGTGTTGCTAATGATGGCTATTCTAACAGGGGTGAGGTGGAATCTTAGTGTGGTTTTAATTTACATTTCCTTTATTGCTAGAGATGGTGAGCATTTTTTCATGTGTTTTTTGGCCATTTGAGTTTCTTCTTTTGAGAAAGTTCTGTTCACTTGCCCATTTCTTTATTGGTTCATTAGTTTTGGGAGAATTTAGTTTTTTAAGTTCCCTATATATTCTGGTTATCAGTCCTTTGTCTAATGTATAGCTGGCAAATATTTTCTCCCACTCTGTGGGTGTTCTCTTCAGTTTAGAGACCATTTCTTTTGATAAACAGAAGCTTTTTAGCTTTATGAGGTCCCATTTATCTATGCTATCTGTTAGTTGCTGTGCTGCTGGAGTTTCATTGTGAATGTTCATTAGGTCTTTGGTTCAGAAAATCAAGAGTGGTATTGCTGGATCATATGGTAGATCAATGTTTAGCTTTTTAAGTAGCCTCCAAATTTTTTTCCATTGTGGTTGTACTAGTTTACATTCCCACTAGCAGTGTAAAAGGGTTACCCATTTCTGTTGAAAGGGCACCATGCAGAAATAGCTTTGACTTTGTACAGCACATGTGTTATATGCCGTAATGATCCTGCACACAGCTTAGCAGAATTCCCTAAGGCTGTCCCACCCACTGCCCATGGTGTGCATGGTCATGGATCAGACTTGACCACATCCAGTCATTCTGCAGAGAACATGTGAAGCCCCTCCTGGGTGTCAGAATGCTCCCAGGTGCTGGGGTGGAATTCCAGCATCTGACGGGGGAATGTTCCATAGGGTGTGGCACTTGGTACAGGAGAAGTTTGTACAACTGATGTGGTTACTGGGAAGCTGAAATGATCTTCTGCCTGTGAAAGCTGTCACAGAGGGAGAGTATTGAACCAACTCTCTAAACATGCTATGTTGGAGTTTTCTGGGCAGAAAAGTTGGCTAGGCAAAGAGGACTGCGGTGCATACATAGATAGCATGACTGTGTTTGGGGAGCAGAAGAGCTGACAGCTTACACACAGGGTAAGTGTGAAGGAAGAAGAAGTGAGGCTTAGCCATCACTCTAGAGAGTAGCAAGCCACTGAAATATTTAGTGAGAAGCATGAATGATATGCAAAATGGCCAAATTGTGTCTTACAAAGATCACCTTGTGGGAGAGGAGGATGGTCTGGCTATGGGAGATTACTGAGAGGTAGGAGGGTGAAAAGATTAGAGATGAACTGATGTTACCTGATGAATTTGATGCCTGGGTGAAGGAGTACAAGTCACAGGGGGCAGATTTTGTTCTAGTGTGGAAGGGAGACAGATTTGAAGCCCCATAGATGCAGGAGACAAGGCAGCCTTGGGAGGGAAAGCAGGAGAAGTGAGTTTGCCTGAAGCCTGGGGAGTGTGGAGGGCTGGTGGAACCAGGAGTGGCGATTGGAGAGTCATTGTGATACAGGCTGAGGGTGCCCAGACCCCAGAGAGACCACCAGTATCTCAGGAAGGAGGGACAAATCAGCAGAGGGAGGAGGGATTTTCAGGTGTGGGGACCCAGCGACAGTGTCAGCATGCAGAGAGAAGTCAGAAGGAGAGGAAGCTTTATTCCGTGCCTTCCTTGTATCAGTCTTGAAGTCAAGTAGCTACAAAAGGTTATACAAGAAAGAGTGCGAGTTTATAAATGAAGGCTGAATATTAAAATGTTGGCACTGAAGCCAGCAGCCTATGAAGAGACTTTCATAACAGTGGGCTGCAGGGTACCCTGAAGCAGAAGTTAGGTAAGTGAGATGACTAAGAGGGAGGGATGGTGTGGCTTCTGAATTGGAGGGAAAGGAGGAATGCCCTTAGTGTTTGAGGGTGCTGGAGAGAAGCCCACAGTGGTCGTAATGTACCTAACTTAGCTGGCCTGAATCATAAGTACAGACCTTGGGTGGCCATGGGGCAGATATTCTTACACCACAGGAATTCTACCAACTCCACATAGGAGTTGAATAGATTTACCCATTCCATTCTTGTCACAGATTCTATGGAAGTGAAACCCATCATGACCAGAAAGTTGCGGAGGCGACCAAATGATCCTGTCCCCATCCCAGACAAGAGGAGAAAACCTGCTCCTGATATCCATTTACACTGAGCTCTAATCACCTTTTTCCCTTAAGACTATTGAGTCCTTTGCTTATCATTTGATAGAGGATACCTGGCCATTGTCCTGCAGAACATGGTAGTCTTTGATGGGGAAGCACATGTAAAACAGGTGTCCAGGGGTCTGGAGTTGGCTATTTTCTAGTGGAGTCTTCAGTTGCTACTGTTTTTAATGGGAGAAATTTGTAGAAGGTGGTTGTTTAGAAGGGTGCTCTATTGGAAGTTTGACCTGGTTTTAAAACTCACTTCAAGATTCTGGGGCAACGAAAACTTGATGTGCTGTAATTTTTCTACCTGTAAAATGAGATTAGTAGTATCTGCCTTTGTGTACCTGTTACCCCACCCCTAAAATAGTGGACTGTAAATTGTTCTTAAAGAAAATGAGATCATAGTCAACATGAAGAACCTCTTTAGTCAATGAGAATGGGGCTCGTGAAGAGAGGTGTCCCTTCTGTTCCTCTTAAGGAGATAAGAAATAGCTATTTGTCCAGGGTAGTTCAGTCATTTGTCTGCCACCAGCAAAGGACCTAACTTCAGGTCTCTTCCTTTTGCTAACAGGATTTCAGTTGCTGGGGAAGACTAACTTTACCTTGTGTGTATGGAAATCATCAGATCTTTGGGATAAAAGCTCCTTATAAATTCAGGATGAGATTGTTACTTTACTGTTTGCTGTGCTCTTGATACTGTTGTAGATACTTGATGAATCTTGTTCTATTTCTCATCTTCGCGATTTGTAAGGTGAGGAGAATGCAAATTCTTTTATATACCTGGTGACCATGACATTTAGTAAGAGAATCAACTTTCCAAGAAACAAGTTATTATTGTAAAAATATCATTTAACACAGTCATGCTTTGTCAGTTCTGAAATACCAGCCTTATTTTGTTGATTTGTTTCCATGGAAACCATACTTTTCAGACACATTCCTTTAACTCTGAACACCTCAGCTAAACTATTTGTTAACAGATGAGCAGATCATGGAGGATCTAAGAACATTAAATAAGGTATGGTTTGATTTTTTCTGATTTATTTGAAAGCTCAGGCTTGACATGGTTTTCTTCCTTACTTTGTTCACGTCACTTGTTAAAACACTGACACACTGACACTTTAAGTTGCATCCAAAATGATTTTCTCTAAGATTATTTTGTTGTTCTTTCTACAGCTTAAGTCACCCAAGAGACCAGGTAAGTGCACAGTGTTGTTGGCATTTGCACAGTCTTTGTGTCGTGTTGTTGGAAAAGCATGTGAATACCTGTCAGGGAATTGTTGCAATTTTCAAAGTCAAATGTTCATTATGTGCCTAAAAGTAGTCATCATGAAACCTGAAGGGAGTCGTGTGTACCCCCTCCCCAGGATGTTTTTGTTTTTTTTTAAACATCACTCTATTATTTTTGACATTTGATTGGCTAGCTGGGGTTTTTTGCTTATTTTTTGTTTTCTTGAGACAGGGTGTCACTATGTAGCCCAAGCTGATCTTGAACTCTTGATCTTCCTGTCCGAGCCTCCCAAGTACTGGAATCACATTTGTGCCATCTTGCCCAGCTATTGATTTTGAGGATTTTTCAGTAGTACTTGCTGACTGGAGTTGAGTCTTAGGCATTAGCATTGCAGTGGTGTCCTGTGATTCCGCCCTGGTGAGGCACCCACAGGCTGCTCTGAGTTCTTAGAGAAGAGGCCAAGGCCAACTCCTTGTTCACCAGAGCAGTGCTTGAGAGGCAATGCTAGCTGCAAACTAGAACTCTGGATTGGTAATGTCTTTTATTCTAAGTACTGTGATTACTCATACATCCCTGTACCTACTGGGTTGTGGAAGAAGATCCTTCTTTCTGTAGATAATGTCCTCTTGGGGCCCCATGGTCCACAGAGAGACATGATGAAGCAGGTGTTACATGAGTAACAAGTAGCCGTACATCATTTGAACCTGTCTCAGTCTAGAAATGAATTCATTAAGAGAGCTTCCTAATGCTTGCCTCTGGGCTTCTGATGGTCAGCAAGGTTTTCATCCTACTCCAAGTGACATTGTGCATTTGCACATTTGACCTTAACTTCCTGGGCCTCAAATTTCTCTTCTGTTCAGTGAGATTAATCATCACCTTGCCTACCTCACAGGGCTGCTTCGCAGATTAAGTTAGATGTGGCAGTGGAGAATTTTGTGGTGTGTGATGCTGATTGAGTGTCTCTTCTAAATTTGGCATCAGTATGCTGACCTCCCAGAGGAGAGGGGGGCCAGCAGGTTGTTTGCATATGCTGATCAGTAGTGGGGTAGCGGCTGTGAACAACCACAGCACCCCAACCCGAGCAACAGAGCCAGATCCCCATTGCTTAAAAAATCCTGTACAGTATGCCTGTAAAGACTTGAAGGTCAGGACTACGCCACACTGGTAGTGTTCAGCTAAAGCACGTTAGCTGGTGTGGGCTCCTGTGTTTATTACATGCTTGGTCATTTAAATGTCTGTTCTTTCAGCATCCCCATCCTCCCCTGAACACCTTCCTGCCACGCCCACAGAGTCTCCGGCCCAGAGGTTCGAGGCTCGGATAGAAGACGGCAAACTATACTACGATAAAAGATGGTAAGTTCTAGAAAACACACTGATTACTCTTAAGAGTCTCTGAGAGCCACTTGGAGGCGGGCTGGGCTGCTGTGCTAATTGTTGGTGCCCGGCTAGCTGCTCAACTTAGCATTGCTGTCCTTTTCTTTTTGGTGCTTGGGATTGAACCCAGGGCCTTGCATGTGCTAGGCAAGTGCTGTGCTGCTGAGCTGTATACACACACACACACATTTTTATTTATTTATTTATTTATTTTTTGGAGACAGGGTCTCACTGTGTATATGTGTATAGCCCAGGCTGGCAGGCTGGCCTGGAGTTTACAATCCTCCTGTGTGCTGGGATTACAGTTGTGAATCACCATACTTGGTCCTAATTACGTTTTTAAATGGGACCTTATCTGTGGTACTGTGGATTAGCAGTCATTTGATGGATCCTCATTAGGTCTCTGAAAGCAGTGTTTCCCCAAAGTGCTGCTGTTATCATGCTGATACCTTTTGTGGTGCCCCTGTCTCCCACTCTTCCCTCTCTTAACCTTACTACTGTGTGCTAACATTAACAGGTATCTGCAAGTGAAAGGATTTTGTGGTCAGATCAGATTAGGGGATGATCCTGTTAAGATAGTCTTTGGGTCCTGTGAAATGTGCTAATGTACTGCAGATTTCTACAACATTATTAGGTGTTTTTTGTTGGCACCCGTACCCTTTTCTCATGTGTCATCCTGCTGTAAAAATGTTCAGGAAACTTAACTTGGGGAAATTGTATCCTAAAATGTGATTGGTTTAGATTGAAGACCACTCGAAACCTTCAGACTGCCAACGTTTTTCATTGCAAAGGAAATGGCAAAACAATAGGAAAGAACCTTAAAAGCGCATACATTTATTCATTCAACAAACATTCACCACTTTCTTTATTAGACATTCTGGTAGGTACTAAATCACCCTGGATCCTTCCACAGCTCTTTTCGCTCTAGTACAGTATTTCTTTTTCTTTGATGTTCCTATGCAGGCAGACTCTTAGCTCAATTTGAAGCTGGCCACATGGTTACATTCTGCCTTTCCACCTGATTATATTGAGAATATTTTTCTAGGTTACTGTATAGTCACTGTAATTATCATTTGTAATGGGTATATGATAATCTTTTGAGTTTCAATATTTTTATTTAGCCAAAAGTTATAAAATTAGGGTAGTGGTTATTTTGACTTTTGAGTTTTATGTTAGTTGTATTATGTTAATTGGTTATCTTATTATTTTTGGTGTTACTGGGGTTTGAACTCAGATTCCTGCTTGCTACATAAGTGCTCTACCACTTGAGCCACACCTCCACCCTTACTTTTAGTTTATTTTTCAGATAGGGTCTTGCTTTTTGCCTGGGGCAGGCCTCAGACTGTGATCCTCCTACAGATGCCTCCTGAGCTCCACTTCCTGAGTAGCTGGGATTACAGATGTGAGCCACTGTGCCCAGCCAGTTGGTAACCTTGTCATGCATAGTCATCTCTCTGTATCCATAGGGCTTGGTTCCAGGGCCCCATCAGGTACCAAAATCCGTGATGCTTAAGTCCCTTACATAAAATGGTATTGTATCTCATATTTTGCATTTAACCTAAGCATGTCTTCCTGTACATTTTAAGTCATCTTTAGGTTACTTAAAATACCCATTGCGATGCAAATAGTTATTATACTGTATTGTTAAAGAAGAAAAAAGTTGATGATTAGTGTAGACACAATTTTCTTTCCAAATATTTCCAATCTGCAGTTACTTGAATGCGTAACCTACAGATCCAGAAGGCTGGCTGTTGATGTCAAAATGCTTAGATCTAGTCACACCTGAAATAAATCATTTCCACCTGCTCAGTTACAGAGTGGCACACCCAGTCATTGGAGGAGGCTTGCTTTATCTGTAAGCCTGACATTAGTGACTTCTGACCGCAGCCCCCCTCACCCCCTTTGGCTGGTCTTGGCCACTCTTTATGTACCTTAACGTTGCTCATGAGAACATATCACCGCTAGGGGGCAGGCCCTGGCTGCTTAATGCAGATGGAGTGAAATAAGATGAAAAACGTTTCTAATAATGAAAACCAAATAACCTTTAAAGATCAAGCCCACATATAAGAACCGTCTTTGAAAACGGTGAGATTTATCACTAACATTTTTATGGATCTAGGAGTCTTAAAGCCATGTGATATTTCAAACGATGTTCATTTTGTAATTGTGTTGCTTCAGATCTTCCTTTTTCTAGACTCAGTCCTTAGATTTTATGAGATGTGTCTTGAGGGTGAAAAAGCAGTAAAATAAAATCCCCCCCTTTTTTTTTTTTAAAGAAAGGATCCATAGTGATGGGTGTTTCATAATGTAAACAAAAGTGGTCAGGCTTGATACATCAGACGCCTAAGCAGTTTGAAAGAATTTTCACCATCTTATGTTAGCAGAAGACATTTGGAAAACAGTGTCTCTGGAAACGTTTTACTTTTCTAATCAATTTCAAGTTGCTTATTCTGCAGTTAAATATATTTTCATGATGTTGTTTCTTTTGTATTTTGTGTGTTTTTCGTCTGGCTTCAGCAGTCAGCGCTCATAGTGAGTTGTTGAAAAGTAGGCCTCGTACTTCCCTGTGTTTATTGAAAGGGGCTCCTGGAAGTCTTGGCCAAGGCCTCTCTCATCTCACTGGGCTCCTGCTGTTTGGCTTTTATGTCTTTGTCACTTCTGCCTAGCTCCATGTTTCTTCTTTGGTGGACATGGCTTGTGGCTGAGAGACCAACTGAGCCACCTTACAATCCTTCCAGTGGTGGAGTATTTTGGTAGAACAGTATTTTTGGCAAAACATGTATCATTGAGTTTTAAATGACTTCAGCAAAATGAGTGTGATTCAGGCTTCCTGTCTTGGCTGAACACTTCTCAAGCTACATTTCATTTTGAAAGATAAGCATCTTCCCTGCCTTGGTCTCCTGCCTTTAAGGTGTTTATATCATGCTTCAGGTTTGCCTCACGTTTTGATTTGGACTAATGACCTCTCAGGAAATACTGTGAAAGTAGCTGATATTTAAAAATAATGAAGTAACTAACGATGCTGGTAGACTTTTTTTTCCCTCTTCACTTAAATCTGGGGCTGCTAATGTGAATGAGAAATGAAGTCACCACTTAGATTTAACCTCCAGCTCCCAACTGACACCAAGACTGTTAACTCAAAACAGTGACTATTTCCAGCTGGAACAGGGACCCTTGAGGTTCTAGAGCCATACGTGGATTTAGTTTTGGGGGAATGAAGTGTTAATATCAGGATTCCCGGTAGTATATAGAATTTATTATTTCTTCCCTGTCCTTGATCCAGTTTTTGGACCCACCTTCTAAAGAAATTGCTTTCTTTTAAAATAGGAGTAGGAATTCTAGTTGGTTGGGTTGAATAATGAGCCCCAAGCTTTGAGAGCTTAATTGTAGGAATTCCCAGGTCAGAATTTCTATTACTAACAAAGTCAATTTGACATTAGGGCCCATTCTCTGAGGCTATTTAAAAATTATTTTTTTTTTCAACATCTGAGTTGTAGCTTGTAAAACAGGTTAATTGGCAAAAAAGAAAGATGATGCATATTTTTACTAATTAGCTCTTTTGATGTTCCTTATATTTCTAAATATATTTTGAATTCTTTGCCTGCTTTTATTCTTTAGAAATTGAAAAGTTTGATATGTTAAGGTTGTCATATACTTTTTAGTTTTATCTTTAAAAAATATCTAAATGCTTTAATTTCTGGGACTTAGCTGTTCAGAGAATTGAAATAGCTTAATAGGTTTGCTATTCTGGGATAATGGTCCTCTGAGACCATTGTGCAATACACAAGAATCCCCTGAAGGTGCTGGTGACCTGGGGTCATTTGTTTTTAAAGTCACTGCTTCGGGAAGCATGCTGGCCAGCTCTTCTGTGGAGCAGATGGGGACCACGGTGGACATTCAGGCCACCAACTGTGTGGTAAGAGACCAGAGCTGGTAGCCCAGATTGCAGTCTTTTCAGTCTGCAGTCAGATGTGTTGGCTTTGTGGGCTCTTGGCACAACTGAAGGACAGTATGTCCAGGGGTAGCTTCCTTTAACAGAAATTTCTGATATTAAGTTTATGTTTTCACCCCTCCTCATTATTAGTGGTGTTTTCCAATACCATAATGCTTTATTATTTACTTTTTTGTTGTTTGAGACAGAGTCTGGCTGGCCTTGAATTATCCTCCTGCCTCAGCCTCCCAAATAATGGGATTAGAGGTGTATGCCACCACACCAGGCTATTTACTTTTTTATATAAATAATACTATTTTAAACTTACATGCTACATTTTTATAAAATTTTAATATAGAAATGTACCCAGTCTTTTCTTGTGTGTATGCTACACATGCAGCATGTGTTCCTACAAACGCAGGGGCATAGTGGACACCTCTGTCCACTGTGTTTTCTTTTCCACTTGGCTCCATACTAAGTGCATTCCCATGCTGGCGGTGCACTTCTACCCACACCATACCGCTCTTCATTAAAGCATCTTGGAAGGAGAAGCAGAATAATGAGCCTCGTTAAGTTTTGTTTTGTTTCTCTCTCTGTTTCTCTCTGTCTGTGTCTGTCTGTCTGTCTGTCTCTCTCTCATTTTGGCAGTACTAACATTTGAATTTAGGCCCAGAGCCTTACTGGGCAGGCACTCTATCACTCAGTCATGCCTCAGCCCTTTTCGATTTGGGAGTTCTCTGAATAGGGTCACATTTATTATGCCTGTGACTGACCTGGACCCAGATCCTCTTATTAACACTTCCTGCATAGCTGAGATTATAGGTGTGTGCCACTGTACCTAGCTTTTTTATTGGTTGAGATGGGTCTTGCTAACTTGGGTGCAGTCAGGACATTCAGACTGGCTGGCTTCAAATCATACTCTTCCTACCTGCCACCTCCAGACTAACTGGGATTACAGGCATTAGCCACAGTGCCTGGCTGTTTCTTTTCTTTTTTTTTTTGTGGTACTGGGGTTTGAGCTAAGGGCTTTGTGCTTGCTAGACAGGTGGTCTGTCACTTGAGCCTTGAGCCACATCGCCAGCCCTCTTATCTTTTTTTTTTTTTTTTTTGTCTTTTCTTTTTTGGTGCTGGAATCGAACCCAGGGCCTTGTTGCATGCTAGGCAAGCGCTGTACCACCGAGCTACATCCCAGCCCCTCTTATCTTTTTAATAATTCACAATCCCCATAGAATAACTAAGTCATTGTCTCTATTTTTGTTCTAACCATTACTCAAGACCTTACTGTTTATATAAAATTGTTGATTGAGATATGGGAGAGAAACCAAGGGAAGTGTTGAAGAATGTTGTTGTGAACTAATTTGACCTTTCCTCATGCATTGTATGATTTGGGCCTTGTGACATTGCCTGTTTACTATAATGAAGGTCTTCTGATCCAGTTCACCAACAAACGTGGCCAAAAGCAACTTTAAACTTCAGATCTAAGCCAGCCTCACTGTTCTAATTGCATTTATGCTTCTCTTTCTTTCAACAGTGTTTTGAGGAAGTAAATTGACTTGGAAACCTGAGTTCTCAGCTTATAAGTAGCAGCTTAAAGATACTTAGAATCTAAACTGAAAAAACCTCTCTGGGATGTCTTGGAAGTAGATTATTTCTTTATACTTGCAAAACATAATCTGCCTTCTTCCCTCAGAGAAGAAATAATAAGTTGCAATGTGTTTTGGTGAAATTTACTTTGGTGACATTTATATGAGATGGTGGATCTGTGTAGCCAGAATAATCCAAAGGTTGTGTTCTTGACTGAAGTGGGTCTGGCCCAGGCAGGGCTTCTAGCAGCAGCCAGCTGATATTTCCAACCCTTGTAACTCAGCAGCTGCTTGTTCATCAGTTGTCCCATTTGAGCTTTGCCCCAGCTTCCCTCACTTCTGACCTTGGCCTTGTCACTGGACTTCAGTTAGAAGTGGCCATGAACTACAGGCCAGGAGACAGTGCAGGGGCTGAAAGGGGAGCATCTGCCAGCCTCCTCCATTCTAGGAGCTGTCTAAGCTGTCCAGGCCATGGCAGGCCAAGTCAGGAACCCCTAGATGCAGCCAGGACATTGAGAACTTTGTCTCATTAGCATTTGCCGGGTGGGGCTATTTGATGTTCTCCCTTCCCCTATCATATTTGAAGCTCTGTAGTAGCAGGGACCTTGGCCAAATGCCACAAAAAAGACCAAGAAATGTAAGTTTCAGATCCAGCAGATGAGGGCATCGTCTGGCCCAGGGACGCAGGCCCTTAAATGAGACTATGTGAAGTTCAGACTCCAAGCCCACGTTGTTCACACTGATTTAATTATATATAAATTTTTTTTGTGGTGGTGGTTTTGTTTTTGTTGTTTGATGTCCTCCTTCCTGTTTTCATGTTTGTGATTCTGTTTTCACATTTGCACTCTGTTTCTGGCAGGTACCACAAGAGCCAGGCCATCTATTTGGAGTCAAAGGACAACCAGAAATTGAGCTGTGTGATCAGCTCAGTTGGAGCCAATGAGGTAGGGACTAAAGATCCTCATGCTGATGAAAGCAAAATGTGCTCTATGGGCTGGGTGCCAGTGGCTCACACCTATAATCCTAGCTGCTTAGCAGGCAGAGATCAGGAGCCAGCCTGGGCAAATAGTTCGAGAGACCCTATCTTGAAAAACCCTTCACAAAAATAGGGCTGGTGGAGTGGCTCAAGGTGAAGGCCCTTTGTTCAAACCTCAGTACCACAAAAAAAAAAAAGAAAAAAAGAAAAAAGAAAGGAAAAATGAGCTCTGTGAAGTGTGGAAATATGACACATCTGAAATGAAAGTGTCACCAAGGAAGTATGGCATGAGTTAGCCTCTAAAGCCAGCACCTCCATGCCGGTTGCGTGGATCAGAATCACTCTTGAAAGCTCCTGCATTTGCTGGTTTGCAGCCTGGGCAGCTCTCTATTCTTGGTGCCTTGGTGAACTGCCCCAGCAGTTCTGATTTGGGAGCCATGGAGCTAGACTCCAGAAGCCAACGGAAGGCAGGTCTGTGTGGTGTCTGTCCATTTACTTACTGCTGCCTTGAAGGTGACCATCTACTGAGGATGGACCTTGCCTATGGAGCATATTCCTTTGCTTTCTTTCTTCTCTAGAACTTTCCTAAGTACTCACAGGTTTGTTTCTTGCTGTGAGGATTTAATGAGGTGCTTGACACAAGATCCAGTACTCCTGAAGTGCTCAGTAAATAGGTGCTGCTCCACTCAACTTTGGGTTCCCTGCCTGCTCTCTGCCCTCTTGAGCCTCTGAACCGTGAAGCTCATGTTTATGCCCCTGGGTACTGGTCTCGAGGCCCTCCTGCAGGATGCCGTCTAGTTGTCACGTCTCCAAGCTGTGCTGGACGATGGGTGCCTGCCCTGCCACTTCTCCTCCTTCCCTTCATTAATAGCTGGATTGGCTTGATCTTTTATCAGTCCACAAATGCCTGCACAGAAATTGATTTTTACCTGTCTCCTCTCTGTAACTTATTCGTGCCAGTGCACAGTAAATCTAATGAAACTGGATTATGAAATAACTTAAGCCTCTTGTATTCACCCAGCTTCCTGAATTGAAAATGCCCTCAAATGTGACTAGTTTGCAAATGGATTGTTTACTTAGAAGTTAGAGAGGGCCTTCAAAATAAATGATCTGTGAGAGTCATCTCAAGTCCAGGCCAGAACCAGAACAGGGGACTCAACAGAGACACGTAGTCAAGGATTTTGTACCTGGTCGTGGGGGCACCTCTACAAAACATGTAGTTTCCTTGTCCTCAAATCCAACTTTAGAACCAGTGCATTATTCTTTGTGACACCTCAAGAAAAATAGAAACACATGTACAGTCCCCTGCACCCCCCCATTGAAGATTGTCATGTTTTGTCACAGTGGCGTATCAGTGAGGTCTGAGCAGGAGGTGATGATTGAACTCTTGAAGGGAAGAAAGCCCTGCAGCCCTGGTGGTGATGAGCGGTACTCCTTTCCTGCAGGTGCCCCAGCCCTAAGTGGCACTGATGCGCAGCCCTGGGCAGGTTCGGAGGGTGCTGCTGACTCTCATTCAGCCCTCCTTGGGGTCAGTTCTCAGTCTAAAATGGTTCTGCAAGATCCTTCAAAGGCTCAGCTTCATGTGAGATCTTTAACTTCATTTTTAAACCTGTGTGTTTATTTTAAAGGCTCTCTGTTGCCGAATAATCTCATCACAGAAATTGAGATGGAACTGCGCATAAGCTAGTTTAAACTGAAAAACTGAAAAACCGCACCCACCCACACTGTGTGTATGCATGAAGTGCAGACCTTTCACAGAATTTTGCTTTTGGCTTCATTGACTTGCACATTACAGAGAGCTGGGGAGAGGAAGAGGCAGGGCTGCTTTAGTGGTACTAGAAAGGGGCTTGGATGTCAGGCACCAGAATCACATGGGACAAATGATTTGGTTTTCTTGACTTTTGGTCTCTTATAAAGGGGGGCCCATGACAGATAGACAGGGCTGGTTTAAGGAGAAGCAGCCCAATGGATGGCATAGTGTCTGGCTCACAGTGGGAGCTTTGAAGCTCTTGTTCACTAGGTAGCAGGAGCTGTAGCTGTTCTTCCTCCCTGGCCATAGGGTGCCACTTACCAAGTGCTCCTGTCAGCTCTGGCAGTTCCCATGTCGTAAGGCATCACTGAGTTCTACAGAAAAACACATCTGCTCTGTGAGATGCAAGATGTCTGGCCCATGTGTGGGAAGGGAGCTGGGGAGAAGGAAGGGTGGTTGTAAGTTCTTCAACTTCCTCACCATCCGAACTGGTCTCAGCTCCCTCATGGCCATCTTTTTTTTTTTTTTTATCCTCCCCCCCCCCAGTACTGGGGTTTGAATTTAGAGCCTTATGCTTGCTAACCAGGTACTCTACCACTTGAGCCATGTCCCCAAGCCCTTTTTGCTTTTGATTATTTTTCTCATATTTTTTTCCTGGGTAGCCTGGAACACAGTCCTCCCAATTTCTGCCTCCCGAGTAGTGGGGGTTACAGATGTGAGCCACTGTACCTGACCTGGGATTTTTTTTTTATTGCTGGTGGTTTTCCTTTTCATGTTATAGGCTAAATTAGCCTTAATTTACAGGAGACCCTAGTATTGAAAGGCTAAGTAATAGGGAAGCCCTTTGGGGAAAGGAAAATCTTCCCAAATTTGATTGGGAAGTTAATGTTCATGGATATATGTATCTTGCATGTTGATAACACTGTAAGCAAACCAAATCAGAAGTCCTTACAAGTAAGGCAGAAATGGAGCCCCGGGTTGCTACGCTTCCATTTTCCTAGATGTGGGAGAGATGGCTGGGATAGATGAGTTCAGGGCTGATGTCTCTTCCTGCACAAAGGTGAGGCTTTACCATGGCCAAGGTCAAGGAAAGGTCAAGGACAGCCAAAGCCAAGGAGATGATGGAGAAGCCTCAGGAGTTGAGTTGAGTGAGATAGCCCATCCCAGCAGACCTATCTAATATAAACAGCTTAAAGTCTGGGATATTTGCCATCAGTGCGGCTAGCCTCTCATCTAGCTCCTCTGCTGTCCCCACAGATCTGGGTGAGGAAGACCAGTGACAGCACCAAGATGAGGATCTACCTAGGCCAGCTTCAGCGTGGGATCTTTGTGATCCGCCGGCGATCAGCGGCTTGACTTTCTACAGCTTTCCTCCTCCCCTGACCCTTTTTCTGGAGTGGTTTTTATTTTTGTTTTGTTTTCTTAGTAGAAAATTCTTAACTTACCAGCAGTAGCTGCTTGGCCTTGGAATGGAGAACACTGTTGTGGATTCTGCAAGGCATGTTTGTGGCTGACACTTCCATCTTTGTGTCACTCTTTCCTGCCTCGACTTCTTCCAGACATCAGTCACCATGAGACTCTTACTTTTGGGAGTATGGGGGTTTGATTTCCTTTTATTTCTTTATTTTGTGCATATATTTTGTTTCTTTTTTTAAACTCCTTTGAGTTTGAAGGGGGTGACTCTTTTTATTAATTACCTTTAGGTCTTTCTGCCATGAGGACTGAGCAGGAAATGCTCTGTATGATGCATTTCCATGTTTGAATGTGATTAGCGGATCACGTACCTGCGTCCCTTGTCGAGCCAGATTCACTGTTTCCCCAGAAGCTTGGGGCAGAGGTCCTAGCAGAAGGAGATTAATTCTCCTGGCTCTCAGCCTTCTCGGAGAAATAAATGCTTTGTGTAACATCTGGTGCATGCCATCCATTCCAGTGGCTGAACGGTGGAAATGTTTGCCCGGGAGACTGTGCATCAAAGTAAATGGGGCTGGGGGAGGTGACATTTCATATTCCTTACACGCTGAAGTTCTCATATTTTAAATGTTACTTAATGCCAATGATTTACTCCAACACGTGTGTTCTCGCTCAGGCTGGAACAAGAAGTGGTAATTTCCACAGTTGTCATTTGTAGTTCCTTTCTCTTTCCAGATCTGGGTTATCTCTTGTGAATGGGCCCTGAGTGAGGTTGATAGTTCAGTGATCACTGATCTGTAGACTCAGGCATAACACACATGTCACTTCTCCTGCTGATCCTGTTGCTACACACTGGCCATTCCATGCCAGGAAACCTTGTTGTCAGGCACAGCCCCTCGGGATCCAGCCTGCATTGGAGAGAAGGAAAGCTTTGCTGTGGTTGCTGCCAGACCTGTACTTTTCCTAACAAATGCCCACAAAACAGCCTGCCCTGTGTCCCCACTCCTCCCCTTATCCCCTAATTGGAGAAATGATTCACTGGGTGATGGCCTTCTCTATCCTCTAGGTGCCATCTTGAGCTGTGTAAAGAATTTGGGGTTAGAACAGCTGTTAGCATCTGTCCCCTTGGATTCTGTTGATATTGTCTGTTGGTGTAAGTAGCCCACTGTATGTAGGTGGCTGGCAAGTAAATCTTCTAAGCTCTGGCTTCCACAAAGATCACCCCTTCCAACTCAGAGGAAAGATTTGTACAGATCCATTTTCGTTTAATTTATACCCATTTTTGTCATTTTTTTCTGGTGTTGGAGTCTTATTTAGAAAAAGGATAAATGATGCTGTTTATCAAAAGTTGCCTGGGTGTTCTGTGTTTCTTCTTTGTCCTCCACCCCCATTGTTAGATGTTTACTACAGTGAGCCACATCTGTGGTAAGCAGAGGCCTCCTTCTCTGTGTGTCCTTGGCGGCCTTGACTTTGAGGGAGGACTTTACTTGCTGGACTTGCCTCTGGTGTGTATAACATCACTTGCCAGGCCACTTGCTTATCATTGAGTGCCCTGTGATGGAATTTTACTTAGGAATATTTAGTATGTTTTGCCATCAAAGCCTTGGAAGTTATTTTTAACTAATCACCTTCCTTGACCTCGCAAACAGTATACCAAAGTGGGTTTTATTGGAAAGGGTCATATCCACAGTCACAGGTGTTGCTGCACCTTTGTGCTTTGGTGATACCCCTGTTGATTTGAAGACTAGGGTATTGGCACAATTGCCTTTTCTCTTCTGTAACTTTTGGGAGTTGAGACCATGCTTAGACAAGGTCTCTACCCCACCACTGCCTTCTCCTCAGTGTCCTCAAAAGCCTCAGTTGTGACTCAGTGAGGTGGGGAAATGTGGGATTAAGACAGCATAGTAAATTCTGATCCTAATCTCAGAAGATTTTTGTTTTCATTACCCAGAGGTGAACCATCTTGATAGGCCTCTGTGGTGACCCAGACCTGAAGTAGCCCTGTGAGTAGATGGAGGCCCTTTTGGGAGGAACAGGTGCTTAGCTAAAGGACAGCAGATAGAGATGTCAGGATGAGAGGAGGCTGCCCTTCAGCCTGGGTGGCTATTCTCACTGCACAGGACTTTTGTCTCTCAGTAGACCCCAGCACACCAGGTGAATTCTCAGATTCAACTGTGTCCTGCAAATGACCCTTTGACCAGGTTGGTCCCAACAGTTCTGATCAAGACCCTGTACCTGTGTTTTGTCAGAGGTGACTGCCTCAAGTACAGTGTTTGCTGGGAATGTGTTTGTGTGCACCTCCTTTTCCCCAAGCCATTGTCTTTTTGAACAACTTCCAGATAGATTTCTGTAGCTGTGCCAAAGCCAGGGCCTGTCTGTTCATTTGTATACCAGTATTTATGGATGTCTTAACTACCTAACATTTTTAAGTTTTCTTTTTAAGCTTCTAACTAGGACCAGTGGAAGAGCCCAGAGGCTGATGTGCAAATCAAGCTACATGTATTTGTGCAGGAGACCCTGTGTTCAAGAATGGTGGCTTTTCTAAGTGAAATAGTAAGGTTGATTGCATTTTTTTTTTTTTTAGCCTAATGGGAGAGTAATATTTAAAAAAATTTTTTTTTAACATTTTCTTTTAGCCTTGAATTTTTACTACTTTCCTCCTTATTTAAAAATTTCTTTCTCATCTGGGAATTTGAAATCTTGGTACTTAGTGTTATGCCAGTTTTTCCAAAGAGCTCAACCATTTTAGTATCAGAACGTGGTAAATTTGCAGCCATTTCAAGCCGGTGGGCTTTTTATGTAATGTTTTTAGCTGGTGCCATTAAATGTTCTGAGAGGTGACTGTAAAATGTAAAAAGTACAGTTTTTTTTTTTTAATAACAATAAACTTTCAAAGAGAAACCCAACTCAAAGTCTGTTGTTCCATTGACTTGATAAGTGGTGGAAATTTATTTTTAGGTTTTCCTTCATTGATTATGGGAAGATGAAGTTGGGTAGGAAGGGATGTACTAGACATTTGCTAATTATTAGGAAAAGTTAAGTTAGAGAATGGTGTCAGAAAGCCTAATACTCAGTTTCTTAGTTTTATAAAGAGCAGTCTCAAATATAGTACACTGTGTACTTGTTGGGATGATAAAAGAATCTAACTAAACATGAGGAAATAAAATTCATCTTGGGTGGGAAACCTTCCCAGTAAACTCATGATTGAGGCTATTTTCATCTGGCATGTGACTGGAGAGGAGATCATTCCTTCGGGCATGAGAGCAGTGCCTGCCCATGTCACCCCTAAAATGATGTCTCTGCTGTTCCCTGGGTAAGTCAACAAGGGTGCCTTTTTTGTTGCTCTGTGTGACCTGCTGGTGTGCCTATGACCGAGCTGTGAAACTGCAGGATGGCCTGATTTTATGCATTAGATAACAGGGATGGGAAGTTCCTGCTTTTATATCTTATTGTAACAGAGCTTGCACACAGAAAAGTGCACAGACCTTAATTGTAGAAGTTATTGAAATGAATTAAAGTGAATGCATCCCTGTCACTAGCGTCCACATCAAGAGGTGACATTAGCAAGATGCACAAGCCCCTTAGGCTTCCTTTCAGTTTCTCCTTCCTAACTAGATTTCTGTTTTAATTACCTTAATCTTCAAGCTCTTTTACTTTTATGGTTGCTATAGTTTGAATCTGAAATGTTCCCCAAAGGCCCATAGTGCCCAGCTTGGTGCTGTTGGGAGGTAGTAGAACCTTGAAGAGATGGAGCCTAATAGGAGGTCTCAGGTCATTTTGCCAGTGCCCTTGAAGGGGGTTGTGAGAACTGGTCTCACTCACTTGCTGCTTCCTGGCCACCACAGGTGAGCAGCTTGCTCCCTACCTTGGTTTACTCCCTTACCTGGGCTCTGAAGCTACTGATTTTGTTCTAAAATCTGCAAAACAACCTTCACAAGCATTTGTTGTTGTTGTTGTTTTTTTTTTTTTGTGAGACTGGGGTTTGAATTGAGTGCTTCATGCTTGCCAAGCAGGTGCTTGAGCCACATCTCCAGTTCATTTTGCTCTGGTTATTGTGGAGAGGGTCTCATGAGCTAATTGCCCCATCCGGCCTTGAACCTTGATCTTCCTGATCTCGGCTTCTTAAATAGGATTACAGATTTGAGCCACCAGTTTCTGGCAGCATTGCTTTTTAAGTTGATTATCTCAGACATTTTGTTACAGTAGTGGAAGTCTGACTAATACATGGTTCTTTTCATAGTTCAGAAGGGCCAGATTCTTGGTGTTAGCCAGGAACTGACCAGGGATGTGAGAGGTGGCAGCAGAGGCCAACCCTCTCAGCCATGTTTGTTACCAAGGCACGTGAGACTTGCCCTTGAAGGAATAGGACCTACCATTTCTCTTTCTTTCTTTTGTTTTTTTTTTAATTATTGTACAGGACAGGGGTACATTGTGACATTTACCGAAGTTCTTACAATATATCATAGTTGAATTCATCCCTCCATCATGCTCCTTTATCCCTCTTCCCCCTATTCCTGGACCCACCTTTTCATTAGCACTTTGCAGTTGCCACACACTGTATGAAACCCTTCATGGGAGACATTTTCTCATTTGATCCTCAGTCAGTGCAAGAGAGTTCTAAGGCTGGTGCAGTCGTAGAATTAATGCAAAACTTCATTCTCCTCTGACACTCAGCTCAGCAGTTTGTCTAGTGCTCAATAAGTTTTCCACAATGTAACTTTCACATGATGCTAGTGTAAAATGTACAAAGGCGAACAGGTGATTCACAGTAGCTCAGGTCTCAGGTGCAACACCTTCGTGTTCCCACAGCTAGCCTAGAACAGCCCTCGTGAGAGTAGACTTAACCATCCCTAGTACTCAGAGATGGAAGCTGAACAAGGACCAGGACTCAGTCATGGGAGGAGGGTTGGTGACTTCTCCAGGGTCACACAACAAGCAACAGTCTGGATCTTTTGGATTCCAAGATGGGCTTCCCATAACCACCACTCTTCACTCCCTTTCCTTTATTAGAATTGCATTAAAGCCAGCTGTGATTCCCACCTGTCGCCCCACCTACTCTGTAGGCTGAGGAGGAAGAGGATCCCTGGATCCCAGGAGTTTGGGGGCAGTCTGGGCAGCATAGTGAGGTCCCGTCTCAAAAAGAAAAGTGACATTCAACATATCTTTTCAGCACTTCACTGGGAATTTTTTCTTCTTTTTAAAAAATCTGGCTGCTCAAACAGTAGAGCCTATAACAAGTACAAGTCCCTGAGTTCAAACCCCAGTACTGGAAAAAAAAAATCTGTAATATACATGTATTCAGAGCAAATGTTCGAGGTGAGGATACTTACTTGCCAGGATCCTTTTCCCTGCTGTGTAGTTCTGGCTTCTGTCTTAGCAATACAGAGCTCCCAGCCAAGGGGCTGCTTTTCATTGATGCTGTGTTCTGAAAGGGGAGGAGCCCTTTTGAAGGTCAGCAGTTACTAGTCTTCTTGGGACCTGCTTTGTAACATAGGCAACATGACAGCCTTTGGAGGGCAGCATGCCAGATTTTTCCAGATCACTTTCTGCCTTATCTCTCTGGAGTAAAGAGGAAGGTAGGAACCATCAAACTGATTTCTAAAAACATCCTACATCTAGATGCCATCTGATGTCAGTGGACCTTTTCATGCCACATCCTGTGAAGGCAGTGTTACGGAAGAGTACACTAGTTCCAAGTTACCAGCTTCAAACCGTCTGTTCAGTTCCATTCAGTGACCTGCTTAACAACCAAGCCCAAGGTCTGCAGTCTGGGCAGAGGCAGGAATGCAACTCATTTCTAATCTTTCACTCTAAGCCCCATCCTTGGTAAGGCTAAGCACCTTTCTGCTTTTAAAAAGAGGGCACTGCCCAACATGGTGGCATACATGTATAATTCCAGCAATCAGGAGACTGAAGCAGGAGGATCCGCAGTTCAAAGCCAGCCTGAGCTACATGAGACCCTGCCTCAAAATAACAAAAGGAAAACAAAACAAGACTCTAGATGCAATGAACTAGAAACTTAAGTACCATTTTACTCCCTTTGGACATAATACCATAGCGAGGAATACATTAGCTATAGGAACTTTGTTTACCAGAATAGGTATTTTCTAGTTATTAAGACAAAGATCCTCCAGATCTCAGCCTCCCAAATAGCTAGGATTACAGGCATGAGCCATTGTGCCTGGCTGTGATGGTTAATCTTTATTGTCAACTTGGCTGGCTTGAGAGACCCCTTGGAACTTAGTCTGCGAAGGTGTTTCCAGAGATAATTAGCTCTTGGAGGCTATTAAATGGTTTAATCCACTGATGTACTCAAAGTTTGAAGACACTATTGGGAGGTGTTTGCAGGAAGTAGACTACTGGAAGCATGTCCTGGGGCCTCTATCTTGCTCTGACCTCTTCCTGTTACAGTACCAGTTTACTTCCTGTCTGTCATGATGTGAGCTGCTCTACCACACATCCCTCCCTGCCATGATGGACTGAAACCATGAGCCACAATAAATAATTCCTCTTGTTTCTGTTAGTTATTTTACCGTAGTCACAAAAAAGTCTAACAGTTACGTGCTAAGTATTTTACATAGATTAACTCATTTAATCTTTAGAACAATCCTATGAGGTAGGTACTGTTATAATACTCATTTTGTAGTTGAGGAAATACGGAAACAGAGAAGTAACTTACCAAGATCACACAGCTAATAAATGGTAAACCATTTATTTATTCTAATTCTAATTGTAGGTGATCTCCTTCATCTTGCTGTGCTGTGAGGTGTGCATAGTAGAGGGTCCAGTCCACTGACTACTCAAGTCTATAGAGATTGTGCCCAGTGTTGGAGTTGCTGATGCCATCTATGTTAGTCTGAGTGTCATGTCCTAACACCAGAACAATCTCAGGAAGCTAGTGAACACCAACAAGCTATGGAGGCAAAACAATGGGTTGTGATTGTCTAAGGTGCAGAGGTGAGATGGGTTTTGAAGCCAAGTTCAGGCAGAGCAGGGAAGAGTGACCTACCCAGTTTTGTCGTCTGCGCTGTGTACTGTGAGGATCTCCCATTTATTTGCCATTCCCAATTTACTGTGGCCCCTTTATTTTGGTGAGGGAAACAAATGAGGCTCAGCAACATTAAATGATTTCCCCAAAGGTTGTATGGCTGTGATAGGCAGTGCACCTCTAGAACACAACCAGGACAATCATTTGAGGACTTCTTTGCACCAGGCTCTAAAGGAAAGCACTGTATGTGCCCATTCTGTATCCTGGTTCATTTGTGACCTCTGTAGTTTCCTCTTAGCTTCTGCTTTTCCTGTAGTGCAGATGACGGAGGTCCTGGATTCATGATTCTGGCTCAGCCTCTCTTCAGCCTTGGGACATTATTTAATCTGTGCTTTGACATTTGGGTGCACTCCTCCTCTAGCATTGAAAGTCTTACATCCCAACAACCCCTACTCAACTTCCTCTTCCCTAAAATGGAAGTGAGAATTGCCTCTTCCATAGAGTTGATTGAGGATTAAGTGATTTATTGTGGACAAAACACCTAGAAGTAGTGTTTGGGTCAAACATATATTTGGCGGTACTGGGGCTTGAACTCGGGGCCCCATCTTTGCTAGGCAGGTACTCTACCACTTGAGCCACTCTGCCAGCCCTGTTTTGAGTTGGGTATTTTCAAAATTGGGTCTCAAGAACTATTTGCCCAGGCTGGCTTTGACCTTCAGTTCTCCTGATCTCTGCCTCCTGAGTAGCGAGGAGGATTACAGGCATGAGCCACTGGCACCCGGCTCCCAATACATACTTAATGCTTCCAATATTATTGGAGCAGAGTCCCCACCACAGAAAGGATTTCTGAGAACTTTACTCTCACTGTAAACAAGATGAGGACCTTTTGCC